TGGAGGGTCAGCACTGAGGGATTGGGCACTGTCGGAGGGTGAGCGCTGAGGGAGCGCCGCACTGTCGGAGGGCCAGTGCTGAAGGAGTGGGCACTGTCGGAGGGTCAGTGCTGAGGGAGCGCCGAACTATCGGAGGGTCAGTACTGAAGGAGTGGGCACTGTAGGAGGGTCAGTGCCGAGGGAGTGCCGCACTGTTGGAGGATCAGTGCCGAGGGAGCACCGCACTGTCGGAGGGTCAGTGCTGAGGGAGCGCCGCACTGTCGGAGGGTCAGTGCTGAGGGAGCGCCGCACTGTCGGAGGGTCAGCGCTGAGGGAGCCCCGCACCGTCAGAGGTGCCATCTTTTAGATGAGATATTAAGCCAAAACTGTGCATATGTGTGAGAGAGAGAAAGATCCCATGTCTACAATAGGGAGAAGAACTAGGGGATGTTCTCCCTGGGGTCCCTCATTCACCATCACTAAAAACAGATAATCTGGGTCATTCTCATGTTACTGTGTATGGGAGCTTGCTGTACAACAATTGGCTGCTAAGATTCCTATTTTACAAACTCTAATTCTTGTTTTGCAATGTATTTCACAGAATGGTGGTGTAGTGGCACTGCCACTGGGATAGTAGACCCTGCAGGCTCATTGATTAAAACATCAGCTCAGAATCCCAGCGTGGCAGATATTGAAATCAAGAGAAACCTCGAATTAAAGTCAGACCTAATGGAGAGCGCTGTCATAGAACAAAAACATCTGGGTCAGTCATACCCTTCAGGGAAAGCAGACTGCAGTCCTTACCCTGTCTGGCCTACATGTGACTCCAGACTCACAGCATGGTGGTTGATTCTGATCTGCCCTCCCAGTAGGAATGGGCAATAAATGCTGGGCCTAACAAGTGTTGTCCACATCCCATGAATGAATAAAAATAAATCCATGTGCAGACCATCTGCGAGCAGGCAGTCGCCATGGGAGATAACCCTGTATGGGGACTCTGTAGGGATTTCCATTTGAGTACGCAGCTTAGAGAGAACATTGATTGTGACACTGAGTACGTTTCACAATGTAACGCGTTGACTGTAAATTACTTTGGGCTGTCCTGAGATGGTGACTAGGAACTGGAGCTCTTTCTTCAAAGGCCTTAGTTCTTTGTTTGTCACAATGATATTAACTCTTTTGGTCCCAGCTTCCCTTTGCTCTGTCTCTCTCTCTCATACTGTGGGTGGAATGAATGCACACACATACCAAGAATGCACACACATCCACGGCTAGCACAATGAGTCATCACCCAGGCCAGGCTCACAGGCTGTGGTGTTTCATAATGCATCGCTCAAAGATGGAGGGTGTAGATTGTTCCGGAAGGACAGAGGGAGGGGGATCAGAATTGCCGAGTGTTGTGAGGTGAGGAAAATGCCACTGTCGGAAAAATAACTCACGTAACCTTTGAACGATAACGTTTGGGAACGCAAGTTTTGTTTTCAAACTTGACGGTAGAAGCTTTCCTGCCTGAGGGGTTTTAAATTGTGTCACTCACAAACAGGGAGGACATTTTATTTCACAGTTGTTCACTATCCATTTACAGCCCCTGAGCCTGTGAGGTGAAGTTTAAGCTGATGAAATGCTCTGCTATATGTCTGAGTAGTGACGGAGTAGAGTTTTCTGCAGGAAAACTGATGTCCCCGCTTTCACTTGCAGTCCCTCAGATTTGAAGGCTCTGATTAGGCCCATTGCACAAACCCTAGTACATACGGGGCAGGGAGTTACCTAGAGCCTTGCACCATTAAATGTGCTCACTACCTTCCTGGTTTCTCTGTTTGAGTTGATCACAGTCCCATGAGACTTGGGATGCTGCTCAATCTCTCCAGGAAGGCTGTGAAGCTGACCCTAAGATCCATCTCTACCCTACTAGGGTCTCCTGCTGCGCCCAAGTTCCCAGTCGAACAATTGCTTCAGGATTTGTGGGGAAAAGGTGCCACCAGCAGAGCTCAGGGTCTCGATGCTGAACATGATGCTTGGAAAACAGGCCAGCTGCTGGGCTGTCATTCCTGCCAGTGGATTTGAAGGGTCATGTGAAGGAGACACTTCTCCAGCGCTCGGAGGTTCCTGCTGTAACTGTGCAAGTCTCTGAGGCCTACAGGAGCGTTGGGTCACCGCTGCCCAGTAAACCATGACCCTAGTCTTTGGTTCCATACCCGGGTTCTCAAACACTCTGTCCTCGGTCAGAAAAAGGCTGAGCTGCCGCAGCGGAGGCAATGATGGCGGTGAGTGGTGAGTCTGTGATGGGATCGGACTTTTCTGAGCTAGCAGGGGACGAATTGGCTCTGACAGTCTTGGTCATTGCTGTCTAGGTTCAGGGTGCCCTGCTGGTGCTGACCCTGTGCTACACAGAGATTGTAGGCTGCAGTTCTTGGATGTTTAGCCTTTTCCCCTGGAAGACAGTGCCATGGAGGGAAAAGAGACTGGAAGCATCCTCACAGACAGCTGTACACAACACACGGCCATACCATTGCGTTTCAGCATCAAGAGCTGGGCTGATTCAGCAGAAATGCTACACAATGCGTGACTTCCTGGGACAAAACGAGCTGCCCTTCTTGCCTGGCAGAACGTCCCGAGGTCTCAAAGAGAAATCTGGAAGAGAAAGGTCATGTGGTGGGAAGACAAAGTCAAGATTTCCAACAATCTGCTGATCACTGCCATACACATCATTTTTCTGTAATGACCAGGACTGCCCAGTAGACCGAGGTCAAACAGAAAAGAAACCTCCTGTGTCCACAGTATGGTGTCTCCCTTCTTAAGTCTGTCAATGCCATCCGTTAATGCTGGAAGTGCTGCCCTATTGCAGATTGCTGATCCTCTCCACTGTGAACCATACTGAACCAGTCCGTGTTCAAATGCAACAAGATCTGGTCAATATCCAGGCTTGGGCTGACATGTGGCAAGTAACATTAGTGCCACATAAATGCCAGGCTATGACCATCACCAACAAGAGACAATCTCACAACTGCCCCTTTACAGTCAATGGTGTTCCCATCACTGAATCCCCCACTATCAACATCCTGGGAGTTACCATTGACCAAAAACTCAAATGGACTCACCACATAAACACAGGGGCTACAAGAGCAGGTCAGAAGCTGGGAATCCTGCAGCGAGCAACTCCCCTCCTGAGTCCCCCCAAAGCCTGTCCCACCATCTACAAGGCACAAGTCAGGAGTGGGATGGAATACTCCCCACTTGCCCCTGGATGGGAACAGCTCCAACAACACTCAAGAAGCTCGACACCATCCAGGACAAAGCAGCCCCCGCTCGATTGGCACCACATCCACAAACATCCCACTCCCTCCCCCCACCACCGACGCTCAGTAACAGCAGTGTGTACCATCTACATGGTGCCCTGCAGAAATTCACCAAAGATCCTCAGGCAGCACCTTCCAAACCCACGACCCACTTCCATCCAGAAGGACAAGGGGCAGCAGGTACGTGGGAACACTACCCCCTGCAAGTTCCCCCCTCACCATCCTGACTTGGGAACATATCACCGTTCCTTCAGCATCACTGGGTCAAAACCCTGGAATTCCCTCCCTAGAGGGATTGGGAGTCAACCCACAGCAGGTGAACTGCAACAGTTCAAAAAGGCTGCTGACCACCACCTACTCAAGGAGCAACTAGGTACAGGCAATAAATGCTGGCCAGTCACTGATGCTCAGGTCCCACAAATGGATTAAAAAACTGAAGCTCCCCCCTTCTCCAGTGCCCTGTGAGTGGATCCATTGGCGAACATCCATTGACAGGAGGGCAGCAAGTGAATGGATAAAGAATAATAAATCCTGGCCCTGATGGTATTCTAACGAAAGGCCCCACAACCAGTGGGCATTAGCTCACGCTGTGACTGATTGAGGAAAAGGAGCTCCTTTCAATTCCAGGAATGCACCAGTTGTAACCATCTTCAGGAAGGGAGATAAATCATGCTGTGGAAATGATCACAGTATTTCCTTTCTGACCGGTGTGGAGTAAATCTTGAGTCACATTCTCCCGAATTGCCTCCTTCCTGTGACTGAGGGAATCCTGACAGAGACAACAAGTGACTTTAGACTTTCCTGACGAACCTCTGACATGGGCCTTGTTGTCATTGAGTCATACAGCATGGAAACAGACCCTTTGGTCCAACTCA